AATTTGTTTTTTATAAAAAAAATATATATATAAAAATAGTACAAATAAACTTTACCGTAGCTTTTTAAATAATACAGTACATAATTTATGTTTTTGATACTCTTAAAATTTTTTCTAATTTTCAAAAAAAGTATCTCTTAAAATAAAATTAATTTACAAAAACGCGCCTGCACTTTTTCTTATTTTCTGACTGTTTTTTTTTCTTTTAATATGTGTATTTTGGTAAAAATTAGTTTAGTTTAGATAAGATGGGATATTCTCAATCTTTCTCTCTCCCTTTCTGTCTTGTTCTGATCTGGAAGGCCAGTCTGATCTGGTATTTTACTATTTTGTCTCTCTGGGTGTCACATATGGAGTTTATGGCCTTTTTTGGGTCAGAATTTTAGGCCATTTTGGTGTTGGATTGCTGCATCTTCTATGTTGCATCTCCAAGTCCACCACCCAAAAATTAGACTACTTGATAGTTTGGACTACCGAAGACAACCCTAAAAACTAATCATTAAGCTTAATGAGAATAGATAAGAGCATCTTCGAGTGAGTTGGCCAAATTTATCATTAAAACATGAACTCTTCTATGGTGGTTGGGGATGAATGTAGTGTACACTTAGAGCAAGTCCACCGGGAAAAAAAATGTCCCAGCCCTCAGTCCAAAAAACAAGCTGGCCCTCAGTCCATTTGCTCCAGCCCGTGGAGTTGCCTGGCACCCAGCCCATGCCAGGCAACAGCCCAGCACGTTTTGGACTAACCAAGAAGCTGGCTTGTTTCTCAGGCGCGTGCAACACAAGCGCGCAAGGCGCGAGTGGGTTTCAGGCTTTCCTGAAAATGTGTCAGCCCACTTGGGCTCAGCGACGTGGCGTTATGATAGCCGTTGGATTTCCAACGGCTAGTTTTTCTAGACCGTTGGATTTCCAACGGTAAAAAAAATTTAAATTTTACTTTTAAACTAGACCGTCTGATCAAAGATCAACGGTCCAGATTAATTAACTTAATTAAAATTTATTAAAAAATACAGAAAAATTATTAAAAAATACAGAAAATTTAAAAAAAATTATTTTTTTCTTTCTATAGTTTATCTGATGAGTTTATGTAATTTTATTTTAGTGTGTTTTTTTTTAAGTTTATTTGATGAGTATGTAATTTTATTTCAATGTGTTTTTTTTTAAGTTTATTTGAAATTTTATCCAAAATTGGTTAAAAATCATATCCGAAATAAACTTAAAAAAAAAAAAAACACACCAAATAAATGCGCTGGGTGCCAGCGCATTTTTTTAGGGATGGAGATGCTTTGGTCTGTTATTGTTCACTGGGGCCTATTACTGTTCACTTGAGTGGATAAATGCGCTGGGTGCTGGCACAAAGTCCTTAGGGGTGGACTTGCTCTTACATGTACATTTCTTCTCCTTGATCCCATTCCTCTTTTCTCCTTCATATTTGGCTCTTTTCTCCTATGTATTAACCCTATAGTTTTTGTTTGGTTTTTGATATGAGACTGGTATAATTCTTCACTTTGGTGTCTAAGTTTGTCCACTTCAATCATTTTTTGTCATTTTGTAGAAAATCTCTGTTAAATAAGAAATAATATTAATATTATTATTATTAATAATAAAAATTCAATTTAATAAACAGTGTGCTCAAATGATTTGATAAAAAATAAGAATATTTTTGTTATTTTATCCTTTTAACAGATTTTACACAAAATGACCAAAATGATTGACAGTAAACAAACTCAGGGACCAATTCTATCAATTTTAAATCTCAGAGAACCTCCACCATCGCCCTCTCCATTATTCCATATTCCCCATTTTCTCATGTATCTCCCAACTATTCCTAAAGCAAAAAATTAAAACCAAAAACTAAGAACCAAATAATTATTAAAAATTGAAAGCTAAAATAATTATCATGCAAGTCCTAAAAATTCGATTGATTATAGAAAATAGTTAATCATATTATAATTTCTAGTATTTCGTAATTTTAACTTCCTCTATCCATGATTGATTTTTCTTGACAAATAAAAGTAACAATAAAAGAAAAGTTAACAAATGGTAAAGAAAATTCATGGCTAAATTGATTGATTTCTTTGACATAATTTGTGGATGATGTGAGATACCAACATGAGCCAGCCCACTCGCACTTCCCCTTCCGCCGACACAAAACAAAACCAAATCAATTGACTTATGCTTTCGGTGCTCTTAAAAGTTTCAGATCTTACTTTTACCTCAACACTATTTTCCACCGGAATTCTCCTCATCGACTTATCCGGGTTCTTAAAATTTGATCCAACGGTTACAAATAGGGGCTCATTTTAAAAGTTATAAAAACTTTAGCCGTTAGATCAAATTTCAAGGATCCGGATAAGTTGATGAGGAGGACTTGGTGGGAGGATCCCTTTCCTTTTCCACCACATTATATACTTTAACTTCTTACGAATCTAGGGTTTCATAAGAATTTAATCCAGACATAAAGGCATAAAAAATTAAGCAAACCATCCGAGTTCTTTTACTTTGTCACCAAGTAATCCGTAAGTAATCCGGATATATATTATGCATCCGAGTTCTTTTACTTTGTCACCAAGTAATCCGTAAGTAATCCGGATATATATTATGTGTGTGTGTGTGTGTCAGATCTAAATATACCATACCACAAGGACTTCTCTAGCTAATTTAATTTCTATCTCACAAGTAAGCACTTAGATGTGTTTGACTTAATCTCAACGGGACAAGAGCGTGAGCACAATCCTACAAGAAGACTGAAAACCCTAACTTATTCTTTAACCTATAATAAATTCATAACTTCATAAACTTTAACCTATACATTCATAAGTTCGTATATCAAAAGTCCAAAACAAACAAGATCGTCTTTAGGGAGCAATGGATTCGAAAGCAAAACGCCAGACTCCTGGAGATAGGATGAGTGAATTACCGGACGCGATTCTCTGTCACTTACTTTCATTCCTTCCAACTTTGCATGATGTACGGACCACGAGTTTGTCTACAAGATGGAACAAGGTGTACCAGTGCTCCCATTAGCCTACAGTTTGATAGCAGAGATTTTTCTTATGCACCTCAACAACAAAGGAGGTTTATGAGGTTTGTTGACGGCGTAATGAAATTATGCGGCTCATCGTGCAACATTAGAAAACTATGTCTTCGTTGTAAGTCTTTCGCTTTTAAAGATGAAGATTTCTCTTGTATTCGTAGATGGATATCCACTGCCATCAAGAACAATGTTATTGAACTTGATCTTTATTTGTTTAGTATTTATTATGATTTCCTCGAGATTTTTGAAATGCCTCCGAGCTTTTACGGGTGCAGATCATTTGTGAGTCTGAAGTTGGAAACAAATTATATTACCTTTACATCAGGTTGTTTCCCAAGTCTCAAGTACCTCCATGTTACATCTCATAACAGTATTATCGGTGGAAGGGTAAAGATCTTTCTGAACTGCCCTGCGCTTGAAGATTTGACTATGATTGGAAACATGGGAAGAGATGTTTTGGTAGTTAACATCTCTGCACCTCAGTTAACAACTGATACTCTCGAGTGCGAGTTTTTCGTTGATGCCCAGAGACTTGAAAACCTCCATGTCAATATGAATTGGGCTTGTTTGTCGTCGAATTATGTTTTGGAGAATTCTAAATCCTTGGTCAAGGCCAAAATTCATCTCAAATATTATATGCCTCCAAAATATATGTATAAATATCCATCCTATGTTGACAATATATCTACGTTACTTGCAGGTACGTACTTCAAGTGTTAAATATTTGACTCTTTTAGTTCCTCAATATCTGGAGGCACACTATCTGCCTGATTTTGAGATTTTGAATCAACTGGAGCTAGATCTTCGTTGCTTTTGCTGGGAACTTGTAATAGATTTGCAAAAGAAATCTCCTAATCTGAAACACTTTCTCTTAAACTTTCATCGTACAGCATGGGGATCGCGATTACAAGCCAGTCAATCCATCAATGCTTGTGCCAGTGTGCCTCTCATCACACCTTAAGACTATCTCCATGCACGGATTCCACGGAGAACCGGAGGAGGTTGAAGTGCTGAAGTATTTGTTAAAGTACGGTGAGGTTTTGAATAAGATGACGATTTCTCCAAATAATTTCGTGGGTAGTTCGGCATGTCATACAAAAGAGGAGTTGTACAAGGAAATTTTTTTTGTTTCAAAAGGGTTCAGAGACTTGCCAAGTTGAAGTTATCTAGAACGGAAGCAGTTTTAGGTTTTCTAATAAATGGGTTCATATAGTTCTCAAATTTGTAATTTGACATCATATTTTTGTTATTTTGAATGCAATTATGGTCAAACATTTTTTTTCAAAAAAAATTTCTAATCAATGCATGTAAACTAGAGATTCGAACATCAGACCTATTTTAAGAGTTATGAATATTAGACGGATCATGTGTTTCTTCCTTTTTCATGTTACATAATATACATTTTTACGTGGACGAGTTGTCATAACAAACATTATAAGATGTCATATTTAGTAAAAAACTAAATTCTAAAAAATATTGATGGCAATTTGGAAAACAATATAACGCCTAACGCAATAATCTTCAACTTTATGTCAATACTATCTGGATTGACATATCTGATTTTGGGATCTTCGTGTTTTCAGGTTTGTGTCCATTTACCAGTTTTTGTTTTTTCTTGTTCTGTTTTTATCCCTTTTCAATCTTTTTATTATCGATGTCATTTTTTTTACCTCTAAATTCGAATGATTTTTTTTTCTTCTAAATTATATAAAGTTTTGTAGAATGCGAAACTTGCAGCTTTAATGGTAGAGCACTTTTTAATTCCTACATGCACGGCGATCTTCGACAATTTGAAGGCATCTGAATGGAAAAATTTTATAACAAGAGACTAAATCCTTAATGTTATTAGGTGATTAGATGCGATTAATTATTTAATTGAAAAGAAAAACAAATGTAGTTGGGCATCAATCATGGTATTAAAAGTTGGCAAAGTTCTTAACTTGCACGCATCGAACTATGAAATCAAACACAAATACAAATTGCCATGCTGACCAAAATATTCAGATTACCAAATCTGACTAGTGATGTTTGTGCAGATAACTAAACACAATAATGGCAGGATCAGGAACTGTTTTCTCTTCTGCTTTGGAAGGGATGAATCATGTTAAATCCAAATCCGGCGAGATGCTTGCCAAACCTTTCTTGGATGTGTGCAAACACTTGCTGCCTGTTTTAGGTATGAGAGTTTGATTTTTAACCCGAAAGCGGATTGAATTTAATGTGTTTGGATGCTGACAAGACCATATTTTTCTCGATTCATTGTTTCGATTCCAGACAAGTTTGGAGCTGCCTTTGCCCCTGTGAAATCTGATATTGGTAATAACATATCGGTAAGGTGCTGTCTTTTTTCTAGGAAAATAATGTAACTTTTTGGACAAGCAATCTGTTTTGGTTTTTTAACGTTCGCAAGGTTTTTGATGCTCTTCTGTACATTACAGAGGTTGGATTCTAAGT